GGAGAGAATCGCCGCTTCCCTACACGACGCTCTTCCGATCTCACCACTTCGAGACAGGCCCGACCTTTTGGACGGCCTCGATCTTTCCCCCCCCTCGCCCCCTCCCCTCAGTCAAAAGGGCCGGCGGAACAATCCGCAGGGGTAAATATCTAGGCCGTCCAAAAGGATTTGTCATGAACATGTTTGTAGATGCCCCAATGTATCAAACAAAGGATTCTCTTCAGTCGGAACAAGGACCCTGCAAAATCGCTGAAGCAAAGGCTGCAGAGGAGACTTTATCAGCGCATGCTCGGGCAGCACAAGTAGGTCAAACACTATTTTGTTGCATGAAATGCAGCTTGCAAAACATGGACCAACTTGGTCTTTGAGATGTGAATGGAACAGGAAACCTGCGGCAAGCAGATTGGGCTTTAACACATACAATCCACTCTTGCCAAACCCTGCTAACAGAAATTTCTCGAGTTTCTGCTATGATTTGCTGCTTGAAATCTGTGGGTCATCCTGCGCTGTATATACATGCGAAAGAACAAGTGTACACTCTTGAACTCTGTTTGAACCAAAGCTCCGGTATTTAATTAATACAAACTCTGCATGGCTAAGTTTGCTGGTAATGATAAAACCTTGACGCTGCATGTCAACTTATTCACTTGCCTCGATGGCCGCCATCTGCAGCCTCAAAAACATTATGTTTTTACCCATGAAGCTTAAAGTAACAAAGCAACCAAACACAAAGTATGCAAACAGTTGGCCATGATTGAAAGGACAACATCACCACACGGTGCGACAAATTCTGATTCCAATCTCTTGCACAATACATGCACTCTTCCAAAACGGATTGCCTACTTATATACTTGGGGGGTGTTCACGTTCTGCAATCTTTTCGGCTTTCTAATTGCGCACCGGGCAGCCGCTTTGAAGTGCAAGGATTTCACCCCAGCCCCCCCTATGATTCCAGCGGCGCGAGCAATTGTGGCAAAACCAATGAAGCTTCACCTCTTCACTTGTGCTTGCTAAACCTGATCATACTTTGCTGTCCTTTGAACTTCAACGCTAAACGAAAGGTCTTGAAAATATCAATGTGTGTGGAGCAAGGTTAAGGGCACAGGCACTAGGCCCTGCGTTCCTCGCATAGAATGTGTCAGGCCTGCACAAGAACCGCAATGGCATCTGGCAATAAAGGCCTTGTATGCGTTTAAGGCAATTCAACCTGCTGATTCCTCCGACAGCGACACCCCATCAAGACACCAGTTTCTGTGCTTTAATGTGTTGCACCTTTAGAGCTGCACATGTGAAAAGATTCGCTCCAGGATTCCTCTGAGACTGATCGACCCAGTTTTACACTAGGTAGGTGCTTCAGAACAGCGGTCAACAGAAAAACTCAGTTTCAGATTAGCGTGTATTTAGCAGGCATGATCGCAGTAGATCTTGGCAGATCCGATTGCAGACTCGTTTCTTGATGCGTACGGTAGCGCGCACATTCTGGATCTCTGTCCACAATTGGTGGAACCACCTCTGTCCCATATAAGAATCACTAACCTCTTGGACGTGGCCGCAAACGCTACTGGACTCGGTGTACCACTCTCTCTCTCTCTCTTTCTACAGAGTACAGTATTAAGCAACGAACATGATCACCGAATGAAAGACCGCAACAACTCTGGCCATCTTTTCTTTAGCCTGCTCCCCCGCCTCCCTACTTAATTAGGTGGGCGCCTACTTACTTAAGTAAGGAATAAGGAACAGAGGCAGCTAGTAGCCAGTAAGACGCTACTACCTAGGACGCAGGATAGCTCACTGACGAGCTTCCTTGAAGATGCGCTCGCACTAATGATTTGGTTCCTAGATCTTATTGAAAACTTAACCTTTGTGAGGCTCTCTTGAAACCACTTGAATATACTTGAATCCAATGCCTGCAACGCATTCTGAGCAAAGAAGAAGCACGGTGAGTGCTTCCACACCTCCCAGGTTCAAAATGAGAATAAGCTGCGTTCTCTGAGATAATATAGACTCGAAAACACTAAAGGTCGATCAAGACAACTCATTTTGAATCCACAATCTTGCAGCAAAGCCTCTGCACTTTAGATCGAGAGGCGGCTTCATTGTTGGAGCCCTCATAGCCTTTGTGCCACATTGGTGAGATTGATTTCCGCAAGAAGCAATGCCCTCAACCGACAAACAAAACAGTTTGCTCCTGCCTGATGTGGCCCTTTCTGCGACACGCAGAGCCAAAACCATTCAAACAATCGTCATGTTTGAACAGTCAGAAAGCAGCATTTAGCAACACTCCACTCCGTACTGTAGCCCTTTTGATTGATTGGCATGTGTTGGAATCGCTAGATCTGAGGACTTCACTTCACTTTTGCCAATCTTGAGGTTCACAGAAAGTTGAGAGGGCACAGGGCAAAATCCCCCTTTTTTTCACGAAGGCATTGCGGTCAAAATCACGTAGAGTCATCAGGGAAGTAAGCTTCTTGCCGTCTGCGAACCCTCTGAAGAGTCATCAGAACATTCACTGTTCAAGCCGTCCGGATTCAGCGTCAAATCAATGTGATTCAACACACTCTTTTGCAGCGGTATGAGGTTCTCTTGGTCACGACGTCGCTGCAGAACCGCAAGGACATGTCGATTGAAATACTTGATCGAAATGACGTCGGACGGCTCTTCTGGAATGAAAAAGTAGACAGCTTCTTGCAGCAAGAGCAACGCATGCTCTGCAACAATAAAAAGGATCAACTGCTCACCAGGCCCTTGCAAACGCATCGGATAAAAGAAAATGGCTGCCAGGGCCACATTGCAGGCAACAGCTGTCTTGTTTATGTAAAGGAAGATGGACTTCCAAATGCCAAGGCCAGCACTGGCATGTGGATAAGGACGCCGTGTGACATACAGCATCCTCTGGAATTGGAAAAAAAAGTACATTGAAACTTTCAGATGGGAAAAGGAAAAGAAGCCGGACAAAAAGCTGAGAAACAGTTCAAAACTTTCAAAACCCGGTAGCATTTTTGGTGTGTGGTCTGTCCAACGAATCTGGCATGAAAGAGGTAAACACCTCCTGGCCATGTCTGCACAAGGTACACATAAATATACAATTTGCAATCAAAGCCAAGTGTACGTATGGAGTTCCTCTCTCCATTATTTGAAGGATCAACTTTGGACAAAGCAAGTTCAGAGCTTAGTCTTAGTTTTCTTTTCAACTGGTTCGTCAAATTCGCAGCGCTTCCTCATTTGCCGTAGGGACTAGCAAAGCACCCCCCGTATTATTGTGAGCAGGCGATGCAGCCTTGCATTTCTTTTGTATCGAAATGAAACGGTAACATCCCTCTTTTGTCCTTGCCCTTGAGACTCTTAAAGGCAACCTAGGCCGAACAGCATCAATTCAATTATTGGTCTTGTCAATGACACACTAGAGAACACCCAGTGTGCGAACCCTTTCTGCTTTCCTCAGCATCTCTTGGCATTGGCATCGCAGCGCATTTGTGCCGTGCTATGTTTTTTTCTAAGGTGTAATGGTCTTCCGGAGAATACATTACACTAACAGCGGATGACAACAAATCTCTTGGCAAATGTCTCGCCCACTTCACACGTACAGAATGGAGACATGGTACATGTGAAACAGTTTCAGATTAGATTCTTTAGAGTTCAGATTCCAACAGGAAAACACCTCTGGACCTTGCATAGGGGGCAATAGAAAGGAACGGTTTCTTCAAAGGAAATGTTTCTTCAAAACAAACGGAAAAAAGGTCTTGAGAAGAACATGACCAAAATGTGCACCTCTGCATCATCACACTTAGGGAAAGCAGTTCAGGCACACCTACGCTAACTCTTGATCTCTTTTTGGCCAAACTTGGATGCAACACGTCTCTGCACAGGCCTTTGCTGTGCGCCTTCTTACTTAAAATTTGATCCAAAAAGAACGTCGAATTTCATTAGTTGAAGCGCTCCAAAAATCTGGAGGGGGGAAGGCCAAAACAAATCGAGATCCAAACAATGCTACATTGGAATGGTCCCTGCCTCCTCTAATTTTTCCCCTCGCGTAAATGGAAAAGATCTGCTACGTCGGAACGGCACCCTCATCCTCCAAAATCTGCCCTCGGGTTGCTCACAAAAGGTCTGCTACTCAACTCCTCCAAATTTTACTCAGAATTACACCGGCATAGATGCCAGATAGCGGGCGCATAGGTTTAATTTAAAGGACACGACACGGACGGCTGTCACCGCAGCACGCAACATCAAACCAGTCCACCAACATGCGCAACATCTATCGGCTGAATGCGCCCGCTTTGCCCAACACAGACGTAAAACTGCAAGATCGGCAAGGACCAGCCAAAGCTGCCCGGACCTGCACAGTCAAATACAATATTCTGACAGCATGTCATCCCTGGCATGACATGATGTCGTCCCTGGCATGACACCATGTCATCCACAAAAGGAAACGAAGCATACCACAAGGCAATATATGCATCAATTTGTCGGAAAAAATAAGAGAGGATATCGCCCCTGCCATGCCATGATGTCATGCCTCGTTTTTTTCCGCTTTTCCGCCTGCAGGTCTCTCGCTACCTTTGACTTGAAGCGGGCCGTGGCACGACATGACGTCAT